TAATTGCAGGCTGAATTTTCCCAAAAGTGGAAAATTAGTGGCTGTCCTCATACTGCCAGATACTCTCCGTCCTGCTCTCCATCCTGTTTATCATTACCAACTGTGGTTTGCACAGTCATGCAGGACTTTAAGGGTCTGAAGCTTTTCATAAACTGCAGTGCTTTGGCTTCAGGAGCTGCAGGGCTTCAGAAATTCAGTCCATACTTTTCAGAAAGAGATCTCTAAACATCTTTTTGGATTTGAACAAACTGGGTCAGATTCAGGTTTGAAGAACTAGCCTTTGAAAGTTTCTAGCAAAACACTTTCACATCGTCTCTCCCACTCAGATCTGCTTAAATGAGTCATTGTTCATAAACTGCACGTCACTCATCTCCAGGGCACGAGGAGGAGGGTGATCTCGCTGTGTGTAGTTTAGTCTCTCACCCTCCGCTGGGCTCCAGCCACCTCAGGGACTTTGACTTGCTCAAACTCAAACAACCTGGTTTCACTCATTAAACAATGTGGGGCCGAGGAGAAATGGAACGGGAAAATCTTTTTACATTCATGATTTGTGTCTGTTTTTCCGTGTTTTGGTCCAAAGAAAACATTCGGCCAAGATGCTCTGAGCTATATGACGCTAAACCCAAAACAAATGCACATCTGTGATACAAAGGAAAGATCTCAGTGATTAGGTAAAGAGGGAAAATTAGTGTGTTTGTCTTTATTTGGGGTTATTTTGGGTTCAAAATAGGGTTATTTGTTCATAAAGCCACTCTAAAGCTATCAACACATCTATTTGTTAGTTAAGCTCCCAGGCTGCATGCTGTGGTATATATGTGTATTTGTGCGTGTCTGTGTGTGTGAGAGAGAGACAACACACACGTCTTATTGTTTACCTGTAGCCTACATGTCGTGACATTATAGAGAGTTTGTACAGTGACTGCATGATCAGATTAAATTTTGGATGTCCTCCTGTGTGTCTCATGAAAATAAGCATATCTGACTAAACATGGCGTGTCATCGAATTTGTTGTTGCCCCCACCAAGAGGTTGTTATGTTTTCACTTGTCTATTTGTCTGTTTCTACTCAGCTTTTGGTGAAATGTGCTGTTAAGTTCAGCCATGGGCCGAAGAACAACTGATTTTATTTTGGTGCATATGCTTTATAAATAAGTGGTCAAGTAAACCATTTAGGCATTTTTCACTATCAAGCACTTGGATTTGCTCGTAACTCCTGAACTGAAGCTGAATTCCTTTTTTGTTGTCACCATATTGCACATAACAAAAACATTATTCATTTGTTATTTGACATTCCATAGCGGCTATTCTTCTATGCATCATTTAACATAAAGTGCCTCAATTATTTAACGCATTGTGCAATTGCAAACATATGTGCAGCCATGCACATACTGTGGTACTGTGCACTCCTGTGGTACATAAGCGTAGCATTGCACAAACTAATTTTTAAAAAAAGAAGCCAGTCAATATAACAATTACATTTCCCTCTAAAACATAATTAGCAAAACAAATTAGAGTACGTACACAGTTTTTCAGGAGACAGGGTTGACATATCACAGATGGTCCAAAATGTTACATATAGCTGTTATTGCACAACTGTTGAATTTAAATGGCTCACTGCTCATGAATCTGACTCATGTAATGATTTAATGTACAAACCATACTTTTAAATCTTTGAAATAATTTTTCGAATGCCAGTTTTCCATTCCCTTAAAAACTTCCAGAAGACCAGTCTAACTCAGAAGAGATATTTACTTAAATAATGAATCCTTTTTGACTGGAAAAAGAGTGAAAAGCTCAAACAACTAGTGGCAATTTTCTGTACCTATGACAGCACACATGTTGAAGGACATAATGGGTGCATAATCCTCCTGAGAGCACTGACAGATAGAAGCACAATAGATTTCTGCTGACAGACAGGAGGGCAGTGTGTGCGCTCGCTCTGTCACTGTGCACACAACATTTCAAACCTTAACTCAACACTTTGACATAACGTGAAACAGGTAACCTTGAATAATGAAGGGTTGTAAAGACTTTATTGAGTTGAGAATATTTTTTCCCAAAAGACACCATTATAAATCCACTACAGTCATTTTCAGTGACCTGCAGTATCTTATCAATTATCTTCATAATTATTGGAGTATAACTTTATGCCAGGTACAGTAGGTCACCTTGGATGGGAGTGACTTGGCAGAGTTGCTCAGAAACTCACTGATGTAAATAGTGCGTTTGGCTTCTTGGGGATTGAATGGCAATGTTGGTCTGTCCATTGGTCGAACCTGATGATCTTTGGTTCAGACTGAAATATCTCAGCAACTATTGGTTGGACTGAGATAAAACTTTGGCACAAGCATTCACGGTCGCCAGAAGATGAATCCTATTGAGTTTGGTGATCACCTGATTTTTTTTCTTTATCGCCACCATCTGGTTAATATTTGAGGTTTTATGTAAAATGTCTCAACAGCTATTGGATAAAATAAAGTTCCCCAGTATGATTTTTAATAACCTTAACTTTTCATCTAGCACCACCAACAGGTCAAAATTTCAATTTGTCCAATACTTTTGACTGAATACTCGCAAAACGAATGACATCCCATCAGCCTCAGCTGTAGCCTACTTTACGTGTAGTGCAAATGTTAGCATACTAACATGCTAAACTAAGGTGGTGAAGATAGTTAAGATTCCTGTCAAGTATAACAATATGCTAACATGCCGATGTTAACACCATGTTACCATTTTGAGGATGCTAGCATGCTGACATTAGCATAAGTCCAGCCTTAGAGCTGCTAGCACATATTTGAACGACTTTAGGGATTTTCTGGATAATCATTATGGTCATACCATCTCTGCCAATAATATGGATGTGAAATGTGTAAGTAAATATGTAAACCTTCCTCTGTAGCACTGTTTGCATCCAGCATTCAAAGCGGGTGCGTGAGTGATTTGGTGCCTTGTTAAAATGACACCAACCAAATCAGCCAAATCAGCAATTTGTTTTCAATTCTCTTTCAAGGTTTAAATTACTGACACAGCTCAGATAAATCAACATGCAAATGATGAAGTTGAGTCATAGCAGTGTGGTTACTTCTGGCTCATCACTGTGTCAAGTCTCTGTTTCACATTCCATGCAAGCATGGGCAACAGCAGCGCTCCAAAGTCATGCCGGGAAGATGTGCACAGTCTTCATCAATGCGCTTCCACTTTCATATTAAAGGAGAAATTACAGTAAACCCAGGCATAAAAATATTAGATTTAAAAATGTAGGCCCACTTCTGGTCCTATCCTTTAGTGGTACTGTTCTACACAATGCCAAGCTTAATCCATAGCCATGTTTCAATTTGTTTTTTCCACTCTCCCACACTGAAACACCGACTGCATCTTTCTACACTCTTTACCTTGTGATCCTTGCAATTTCTCTCCCATTATTTTGAATCAGTCTCTTGTTCCTGGTTTGACCACATAATTTTTACCCTGTCTTCTGTTTGCTGAATGGGGTCGACCACCAGTCTCTCACTCTCGCTCTGCTCTCCGGTCTCCTCCAGGCTCCAGCAGCCAAACCACAAGCCTCAATTACCCAGCATTCCTTGGAGAGGACTAGAGAGGCCTCATGTAGCAGACTATGAAATTAACATTCATGACAAACCTCTCAAGCCACAAAACTATTTCATGAGAGCAGCAGTTGCAGGATTTCATCATTGAGAAGAGTATCACTTCTATTTTATTATTATTCTAGGTTCATGCAGTGTTCTGTTTTCTGACAAAGGATGAGAGTAACTTTTGAAAGAAAAAAAATACTATTTGACCTACAAAGCCAAAATGCAGTAACAACACATTTAGTCAAAATTTAGGTACAACGTATGACTTGATTTACTTTACCAAAATGTTTTTATGTCATATAAATATAAAATTTAGAAGAAAACGTCATGCTAATGTGCAGTTACAACAAAACACAGCTAAGTTAAATTAGCTAACTGGATTTAGCCACAGCTAGCACAGTCTAAAGCAAAATCTATTGACTTTTCCCCTATAGTTAGCAGATTCCTGTTACTGAATTATAGATATTTTGGTGAACTAAAGTCTTGGTACTTAATTGTTAAAAACGGCTGAAGTAGTCCTGCTAACAAGGTAACTAGCCTAGCCTAGCTTTGCAGGGTAAAGCAGCCATCTTAGCTTTTGACTCAAGTGGAGTTCATTATTTGTCATGGTTAAGCTATTTAAATGTATTTATTTGGAAGTTCATTTATTACACTAGTAGAAGACTGAAAGGACACATGTTGTTTGATATAATTTGTTTTTCCCCATATACCCATTTTTTTTGTAAAGATCTATTTTATTGTAAAAATAAAAAAAAGGAGAAACATTTAGTTATACAAACAGACATTTCAAACCATTTGGCATGGCAGTATTGATGGCGCTGCAAATAAAATTACATTAGCTTTAAATTGTTTGTTTTTTCAGAACATTTTTTGGCATGTAGTACTAAATGTGCACGTGACGTGTATAAGATCAAACAATATCTTTTTTTTCTTTTACAAACGGACTTAGACGGATTCATAATGCATAGACAGGGATTTTAATGTTTGTTTCACTTACAAATCTGTCCCAAGCACAGGTCACTGGCTTTCACACTGAGCAGTAGTCAACAAACCATGATGCATTGCATCTGTGCATCAGTAGGTACCGTTGCCACAAACACAGCATATCTTAAAAGACAGCACATTTATGGTAGAAGTACTAATTTGTACAATTAAATCTCAAACCGGTCATCCTTTACAAGTGGTTGAAGAGCAATCACAGCAGAAATCTTCAAATGAATAACCTCTTTCCTTTAGGTTGATTCTGCGCTGAAAAATCCATGAATGAAATGCATGGGCTGTAAAAACTGCTTAAGATCACGCAAGTTCAGCATCGCGTATTTTCCCTAACTGTTAGCTGAGTTATAACAAACTGAGTTATAACAAACTATTCTTACTATACGTCGTTTGCCTTGAACATTTTTTTTTCTTTTAGGGTTTGTAGGAAACATTTCACAGAGTACCGCTGTGCTGAACCAAAAGAAGTAAGTATGGAAAAAAACAAAAACAAAATAATGTATGGAAAAAAACAAACAACCAAACCCAAATTGTGTATATAGATACTACAAAATTAATCACCATCAGTAGGAAAATTAGAGGAGCTAAATGAGACTGCAGGAGTTTAATGACAGCGTTTGTGGCAGTACATCAAATGAGAAGAGATCGGGAGATTAACAATGATATTGTCAGTCTGCCATCAATAACAAGAATGTGGATGAAGACTGCCTCCATCTGTCAGCTTTCATGTGCTTTGTTTGGGTCTTCCACTGTCACATTAATTCATAAGGTACAAACAATTCACACTGAAAATCCCAGAACAAAATAATTAGTCTTTTAAATACGCTTTACTGTTTGGAGGCACCAGTTATATTACTGTCCAGATACACAGCAATGCCTACCCAATACAAATGTAAAAACAAAGCTCAAAAATACTTTTTTGAAGCAGCACACTGAACTTGCTTTAACCCGTTGAAACGTCATCACAGCTTTTGTTGCTCTTTTCTCATCTGCATGACACACTCTCTCCTTTTACCAGCACCTCCCTCATCTCATGGCAACTATTACAATATCACAAGTAGTGTACACCACTATTCATTGTTGGTCACATCATGCAAACATAATCAGTACCAAATGCCTATACTGTTATATCACAGAGAGAATGAAACATTTGAAAAGAAACTGGTATGAAGTAATCAGAGGAAGCTCTCAGCATCACTTTCACTGTGATCCATTCAGGACAGTCCCTCCTTTCTGACTGTAATAAAGTAAAGAATAAAGTACAGAGGATTTGAACAAATTTGCATTATACTCCTCTACATCCAATACTCAAAACTATTCTCTTCTGAATAATTTACAATGTAGGATTCTTTATAAAAATCCAATAAAAGATCCAACACCACTATGTGTTTGTCAGTGCATGTGAGTCAGATGAAAGAAAAATGAATACGGAGTACGCACTGTTCACGCACACACAAACCTAAAAAGCACTGATGATGTAGAGCAAAAATGAAGTGAGTCATTCTGATGCATATTCACATTCTTTAATCCATGGTCTTTCTAAACCGGTTGCACATGGAGGAAATGTGCCTGTAGAAGAATGTAAGAAGAAAACAATTGTAATGATGATTACAGTACATGGTGACAGATGCATATCAAATGTTGGTTGCAGTTTAATTTATTTTTTTTGCATTCACACAACCTACTTGACCCCGCTAAGTCAGCCTGGTATTAAAGGATGGCCAAGCACAATGATCAATCCTTTTTCAAGTTTGCAATACATTATATTTTTTTGCACAAAAAGTACTGTAGGATTTGTATTGAAAAACATGAATGCAGTTTTTAAATGTGTGGCTTTTAGGGAGCTGGCAAGATACTAGAAAATATATTTGAAAAACATTTACATAAAGCATTGTTTTATATAAACCAGGCTCATGGTGAAGCCTTCCAGAATGGTAAATGTGTAAAATTCAATGTTTATTGTAATTGATGGTATATCCATATAGAGTAGATTCAGTGGATAACAACACACTCTTGACCATAGTGGCTGTGTACAGTTTATGTGCAGGCCTCCCTTCCGAGATTACAGTATTTAACTTTGACACAAAAAGCACAGAACTGCATTTTAAAGCTGAAAATGTGATAAATACAAAATATGAAGTTAGAGCAAGAATCTGTGCTGCAATAATTCAAAACATTTCAGAAGCTACCCGAAAATAAACCCATCATACTGTAAATGCTAAAGGCACCTTAGACAAAGATATATCCCTGTGCTCGAGTGGTTAAAGAGGTTTGGGGTTAAAAAAAAGAGCAGGGAGAAGCCTTTTCCTCTCAAAAAGCCTAACCACTGCATGGAAACACTATATCGCCACGAGAAAGGCTACATAGATAAGAGTTTTCATTGCATAAACTATTCTGTTACTGATTGTCTAAAAGCACGACTTAAAGACATAGAATGCAGATCTGTAAAATGACAAGATCAATTTCATTTCAAATACGGCAACATATCAAAATACGTTGCACACAACACTCCATCATTTGCATCGTACTGCGATGCTGCATTTCTGCAGTAGATTTATATTTCTAAGATAACAAAACATGCGTCGGGGGAAACTCTCTCCTGATCATGTACATATTGTTTCTGGATTTACGCTCCAAAGTCTAAACAGTAGGAGGTTCAAAAGACACCACGAAAATAGATAAAACATGAAATGATAAAACAAACAAAGAGACAAGTTGATTAAAAAATCATGAGTAAAAACAGTGTCCAACAAGCTCTGTCCTGCGTCGGCAAAAACAATCCCCCTGACATGCTGGTGGAGGAGGTTATCTTCCTCTCCTTCCTCTGTATCTTCTCCCCATTTCAACCCAAACTACCAGCCCAGTCTTTAAAAGTGATCCTCTCTGGTGCATCATCATCATCATCATCATCATTATTATTATCATCATTATCATCAAGTCTCCCTCCTCCTGCTTTCATCCCATTTTATGTCTTCCTTCTCAGGCTGGACAGGCTTGCTCCCCCTGCAGGCGAGAGGTTGGAATGACGCTGTATTCCCAACCAGATAAAGGGGGAGATGGTGCCTCTGGTTCCACCGAGGGGGTTAAAATTGGAAAGTCACTGGGATTGATTAGACAGGTAAGTGGAGCAGGTGCCGGGATCACACCCTGCTGGTCGGGTGGCAGCGGTAGGTGCAGTTGGACAGGGCGTCAGCTCCTCCGTCCACATTCTGGGAGCATCCTCCCTCACAACAAGCTTCTGGGAGAGAGAGAGGGGACATACCATCAGTACTGTTTGTCATTAAAGGCAGTAAATAGGTTCCACTATAAATGAAAAAATCTGCAATCCACACATTTCCCCCCTCTTCAGTGGCTAAATGTTTGCCTACTGTACCTGCATCTTCCTCTGGTAGTAGCAGATGAGTTCGGCACGGACTGGGCAGGGTGGGGTTGGGTCCCTCGTGACTGGTGCCCAGCTGGAGGCGCCTCATGTGACGAACCACTGCTGTGGCGTTGAATGCTTGCTGCAGAGGAAAAGACCCAAATGCAATATAACCCAAAAAACTGCTGAATCTCATTTATCTTAAATTAAAAGTTGACCAGGTGGGACCCAAAAAAACAGCCTAAACCTGTGGTTCTGGCATGTTTTGCTTAATATCAGGCAATCTCTACTTGTAGTTCGTCACAACAGAAGTTAAAGCGTGCAGATGAGAGTTTAGGCCTGAAGTGTTAAACTGTACAGTATTTGGTTAGAAAAGAGAAAAGATAAAATAAAAGCTTGAAAAATAAACTATTTAGCGAAGCAGTGTTTTGTTTTTTTCTTATTTCCCTGCCTGACCTGCAGGCTTGAAACCAAATCTGAATCTTGGACGTGTCTAACAATTAAAACAAGATCCATTCCCTAAAAAAGTTTAATTAAAAAGAGGCAGAACTTTGGAGTGATTCCTGGAGTTCAGACTTTGTATTGTAGCTAAACTACATTAAAATAACCGTATAGCATAAATCATACATATAAGAAAATCAAAGTGCATCCAAGATAAAGTGGAAGGTAAATAGGTAAATAACTTACCTTCCACTTGCTCTTAGCAAAATTCTTCTTGATCTGAGCACTGACAGACTCATGGATGTTCTTGTCTAGGGCTGTATCCCCGGCAATCCTGACAAACAGAGGAGTAAGGAAACATAAGAGTATGTCTGTGTGCAGTGGATAGAGGTCACATGTCCAGTCACAGTCATAATCAGAACTTGATAGAGGCGTGTAGGACCAGTACCAGGGGTGCTGCAGAGCCTGCTCACAGGTGTAACGTATGTTAGGGTCTTTCTCCATCAGGTGGACTATGAAGTCTTTAGCTATAATGAAAAAGAAAGGTTAAAAAGTCAATATTACAAAAGTCACCAGTTGCAGAAATATGTTGCAGTCAGTTTTTGTAGGCTCGTCAGTTTAAAACTGGAAGCTGATGTAACAACAGCAGTAAACAAGAGAAAACAAATCTTGAGGTAATTCCCATATGCCAACAAAAATTCGCCCGGAGCAGGGAAACAGGGACCCAGTCCAAGAGCCAGGACTTGGGGAAAAAATCAACATGGGATCATTGCCTTGACTTGTGGGCTCAACACCTGCAAGACTTCAGAGACATCACCCTCTCTGTATAAGGAAGAGCTTGGCTGGCTCTGGAAACAAACTCTTGGATAAGTTTTTGAGATTTTCCAGGACACATGCGGGGTCTGGAATCTACATTTCAAACCTCACATCTGATCACAAGCTATGGGTTGTGACTGAAAGAATGACATCACAGATACATAAGCAACAAACATATAGGATCTTCACCTTCTGAGGCTCTCTATTTTTAGGGGAGGGAGAGACATATTAACTCTGCTGCATTTTATTTTTGAATGAGGCTATATTGTGTTAGAAATAACATTGATTATGAATACAAATAATATTCAAATATATTTTGGCATTGACATTTGGCAACTTGGCATTATGCTGCGCACTTAATGTGACTCCCACAGGCTGGGGGCGATGTTGGACTAATGTTGTAACACTGAGGGACAGTCAAGAGAAACTGTGTGAACGTTAAGCCTCATCTGAAGTCAACTAAATAACGATAAATGTTAAATGCTAGTGACAGTTGTTAGGGTGCTTTTTGTGGAATAAATATATATATACATAGCAGCTAGCGTCGTTATACAGGCACCCACTCTCCGTGATCCTCACTGGTGTATAAATTTACTTGATAAACATATTTCAAAGTGATGAGTGATGAGTGAAAAAATGTACTGCATTAATTTGCTTGGCACAGTATGTAACAGTTAGATTAGTGCCCATTTAGAGTGCATGGTGCACTGTGGCCGCTGTAGTTAATCTAGAGATAACATGGTGCCCCCCCCCACTCTGTGTGAGAAAGTACGAAGTTCAGAAAGGAGGGAGGATAATGGTAATAGACCAATGCTCAAGTAGATGTGTAGGAATTCAGTAGGTTGGTTTCCTCTAGGGCTATTGGACAATACGAACTACAAGGAAAATACAGGGCAGACATGCTAAAAATCTCATGCCTGCAGAAAATAGCTTGATACATGTACTGTACCTGAATCAGATATATCGTCCCAGTAAGGGGAATCAAACTCGTATTCTGCCTTCAGGATCTGTTCAAACAGTTTGGCATCATTCTCGTCATAGAACGGAGGGTAACCACACAAGCTGCGACACACAGGAGAGCACACACGTCATGTTTCCTCAGAGACCGTAAGGACCTTTCCTAGTAGGAGCACCCCAGGCGGGTAACTTTTCATATTCAGTTTCGAAACAAAATCTTTCTATAAATAAATGCATTAATCTTAAAAAATGTACTCACAGAATATACGCTATGACTCCAATAGACCAGCAGTCCACTGCTTTACTGTAGGGTTTCTGAGCCAACACTTCAGGAGCTAAAAGAACAGGATATACAACTATACAGGTGAGATAGTTGTTTAACACTGTTTGATATTTGATGTTTAGCACAATTAGTACATTAACTATAAATATCTAAGTTGTTAATTTTGTAGTTGTACAAACTGTACAAACTAACCAGCATCCGTGTGTTGTTGTTTTTACTGCGTTAAATTGAGTAATGTCTTTAAAAAGCTTTATGAGCCTCTGATCAGCTGTAGATGGTGTTTAATAAAGACAAAGAGTTTACATTAGACACACACAGTGCCAGTAGTTAATATTGGCACTGTGCTCATATTGTGAGGTACAGCGTTCACGTCCATGTAAAACTTGTTAAGTTGAAGCAGATTTATCTAATTCAAGGCAGGGTCTGACGTCTTTACCAACATATCCAGGTGTTCCACATGCTGTCGACATCACACTATCAGAGCCCTCAATTTTAGACAGACCAAAGTCACTTATCATGATCTTGGAGTCTTCATCCATGCTGTAGTACAGCAGATTCTCTGGCTGCGACGAGGAGGGACAAAACCAAAGCCAGAAATGTTAAAAAACTACCATCACACAAATCATGCAAATGCACACACAACAGCACCACATGCACATAGTAATAACTGACCTCTATAAAAGGATTATATGCTCGTACAGAAGGGATTACAAAAACAACAAAGCCATGTTATAATCGAAAATGACAGATGCTTAGAAGACATGTTTTCAGTTTGGGGGTCCTGGCATCATTTTGGTTATTCATGCATGGTCAGTAAATGGACAGTGTGAAACTGCAGGCTAACTTTTCAACATCTTTGACCCCGGACTGACCTTGAGGTCACGGTGCACGATGCCCATGTCGTGGAGGTATTTGACAGCATCCAGAATCTGCTGAATGAGCTTACTGGCATCTTTCTCTGTGTAGAAGCCCTTCTCTATGATACGATCAAAGAGTTCCCCACCAGACACCCTGGATAAACAGGAGAGTTTCACATTCATTAAAGTGAATAGAAGCTTGTGAAATATAAAGTACAGAATGGAGACAACAACCACCAAAATCAGACTGGACTGAAGTTTCTGGAAATAATGGACAGCTAAAGATTTTACTTGTTGATGGTTGCAACAGAGGGACAGTGAGATAAAGTCTGAAACTATGAAACTATTTTTGACCAAGAAATTTTTTATTGTGGCAGTTAATCAGTGGCATGAATGAGACCACATACAGGAGGAAGTCTGCTTGATATTATAATTAAAAGCCACTAGATGGAGACCTCGCTCTGTCCACAGAAAATCTGCAGCAGTTTGTTTGAGCCTCCAATAACACACACAGACACACGCACAATGAAGAAGAAATGAGACAAGTGAAATTTTTGGTCAAAATTATGGGAGTCTAAGTCTGTAAAGGAAAACTGACTTGTAGTGTCACTTTGCTCACCTGCGATACATTACCATTCCCTTATAGGTTTTTACATCAGTTTTAAAACATTTGTTGTTGTTAGGCCAAGTAAACAATAAAACTAAATACGTAGATCAATTGCTGTGGTGAAGCACTGGCTGTTACATGAAAGAATCATGAATCAGTGGGAACACAAAACACATTGCAAGGACATACAAAAACCATTATGAGGGAACACATATATTGCCGGGGAATGCGATTACTACTGCTAACACAAACACATGCTCAAGAAAAGAATTTCCCATTAGTCCTTCTCTTGACAAATGTACACCATCCCTCTCTGTCTCTGCCTTTTATCCCTCTGATTTACTGTTGACTGTGATTAATGCATAAATGATTAATATTTTCTGGAGTCTCTCGTTGATCCCGATCTTTTCTCTTCTCTCATTCTCTCTCCCTGACATTTCAGTAGTTCAGGTGGGTGGGAGGCTGACAGGCTGCAGGTGTGAGGGCAAACTCCCCACTGGTGTCCGTGAGTAGGCAGAGTACAGTGTTTGCTTATGTGTGTGTGTTCATGCACATGTGAGTGTGTTACAGAGTGCAATTAATGGCAGGTGACATGTAGTGTGTTGGAGATTGCACAAGTAGGGAGTTTGAAACTCACGTCACACAAAAACGAACCACACAAACCCACACGTGGATACTCACAGTTGCATGACAAGGTAGAGGTGTGATTTACTTTCAAATATCTCTTCCAGAGATACAATATTGGCATGTTTAATCCTGTGAAGGAGAGACAAGAAATAAGAAAAAGCAAGAAATTATTCTTCTAATACTTTGCTAGTCATTTTTATTTAGTATTTCACAAGATTTTGCCAGCAGGTGGCAAAAATCTTACTGTGTGCTATGACAATTCCTCGTCTGCAGTTTAAAATCTTTCCCACTAGGGGGTTGGGACAGTCAGTGTATGTACCTGCCACACAGCTTCATCCAGTCACATGTACTTCTTGCTGACCGCAGAGGAGGCTACACTGTGTGGTGGCACATAGCTCCCAAATTGGCTGAACTCTGTGCTCTGCTCCCCCAGAGACCCGTAGGTGCAGTGACATGCGTGAGAAGATGATTCACTACATCTATGTACTGTATTACACTCAATGGCTACTTTATTTGAAACACCTTTACAATCTAATGCAATTCAAAACAACAGCTCTGTTTACAACCGAGGTCATAGTTAAATGTGTTAATATACATGAATTGGGGTTAAGGAGGGGAGGTGGGAGCAGAACATTAAAAAGACCTTGCAGTCCAGTACAATACCAACAAACTGAACGGAAATCTCAACGCTGAAACACACAGTTGCATCTCGTGGGAAAGTTCATTATGAGCACCAGAACCAGACCGAGAGATTATAGGCTCAGGAAGTCTTTGCAGGTGTTTTGAGTTAATTAGCTGATTAGAGCTCTTCTCAGTCGACAGTCTGTTCTTTATTATTTATTCTAAAATTCTAATGCATTTTGAGATACTGGATTTTTGATTTCCATGAGCTGTAAGCCGTAATCATCAAGATTATAACAAAAAAGGCTTGAAATATTTTAATTTTTGTGTAATGAATCTAGAATATATGAAAGTTTCACTTTTTAAATTAAATTTCTGAAGAAAATAAAGTTTTCCACGATATTCAATTTCTTTTAGATGAACCTGTATGACTGAATTAATGCCTCTATGGCAGAGTCAACAAAAACTGAACATTATAAGCATTTAAACACACATCCCCAGGCTGGCGAGGAAAGCTCACAAACAACAACAACTGGGGTGGTGATGGCTAATAGATAAGATGCTTGCCTTTAGTGTTGGAGACCTGGGTTCGATTATCACTGTGAGACATCCACCATTGTGTCCCTGAGCAAGACACTTAACACCAAGTTGTTCCAGGGGCGTGCGACCTCTGACATGTATAGCAATTGTAAGTCGCTTTGGATAAAAGTGTCAGCTAAATGAATAAATGTAAACAACTGTATTTCGTAAGAGAACTTAAGTGAAATTCCCGTGCCAAATTCTTCTTAACTTTTACAGAGAAGCAATAGAAAGCATCCTGAAAACTGAAAACATCACTAACTGGCATGGGATGTGTCCGGGCCCAGGACAGGAGGGCTCTGCAGCGGGTGATTAAAACAGCTCAGAAGATCATTGGTACCCATCTAACAAGCATCAGTGATATCGGTGAGGTGAGGTGCCTGCAGAGCCCAAAGGATACCAAAAGACAGTCCCCACCCAGTCACAGCCTGTTCACCCTGCTGCCAACTGGCAAGAGATACAGAAGTATCTGCTGTTGCACCACCAGACTGCAGAGCAGATTCTTCCCCCAGGCTGAGAGACTCCTTAATTCATCCACAACACTGCACCATGTAAAATACTTTTTTTATGACTTATTATCTATCCACCCATCTACTGTATATAATGTTTGTATGAAACCATATTATCATCTGGTTACTGCTGTTTATATTCACCCCAGATGCAAATTCAAAAAATGCACTGTGGAATGTTCGGGGTGTATACGTGTATGTATATGTATTTTAAAAACTGTATATATTGTTTTATTTTATTTTACATGTTACCATAATTTAATATAGGCCTACACTTAATCGTATGTTGTGTGTGTAGCATCAAGGAACTACAAATTTCGTTTTGTTATGCAGCCTTGTGCTGTATAATGACTAATAAACAACCTTGTACTGCTTTTTGAGAGTAGCATAAAGGGAACTACAACTTAATTTTGTTATACAACCATGCATTTAAAATGATAAATAAATCTAGTTTGTTCCTTGTGAAAGTTAACTTTATGGCAGAGCTATTGTTTTGGACTGGATTAGGTGGTAAATAATGAAGTGACATGCTTTGGCTTCAATTTTGGGGCGAACTGTCATGTCGTCCATCTTTATATACAGTCAATAGTGTGTACCCTTGAGTGAATTTCCTTTATCATAAATACATCTAAAATATTGCATTGTTTATATCCATGTTTATTTCCTCCCAGTCTCTTTTGATGGCGCACTGCTGTGTTTGTTGACACGTTACGTCACCAACTGTGGACCAGTGGAATAGCATTAAACCGAGGTCAGGATGTCAAACATGCCACTTGCGTACTGCATGTTTGTCCTCGTGCGCATGTACGATACAAAGAAAACGGGGACCGACGCACAAAAATATTGCTCCATAGCACTACTTATGGTCAAAAACTAGACTAACTTTTCATACTTTTTTCAGTGTGTATTTGAGGATTATTGCGCTGGCTTGAACGTAGGAAGACAAAGAACAACACAAAGCCATGTGTCTGAGCTGTACTGGAGGTAACTGTGTATGCGTTGGCCTAAACTCATGCTGGATTACAGCAATGACTCTGATCCAGATTGTAACAATGCATGGACACCTTCATTCATCTGCTTAGCTCAGTGTGGACGGAGAGATAGGGACCCAGTGAGGGATGAATGCTGGATTAAACCTGCCGAGTGAGCAGACACGTGTGAATGCGCATGAGCTTGAACGTGCACAATTACAGAAGGTCAAATCCAAGCAGTAAAGGTGCAGCATTTACCTTGAATCTCTGTGCAAGTGTGTTTGTGTTTTGGTGAAGACCTTATGGTGAACACTGTTTGTTGTGCTTGTCAGAGAGCCGAAACGTCTATTGAGGGCTGGTGAGTCATATGTCAGCATCTGTGGGTCTCGCAGGGCATCGCGCAGAACATAGAAGTCAGCAAATTAGAGAATAGAGTTGCCAGCTCTGCAGCCAGTAACGATTTCATCTGACACCTGGGTGATAGTGGCAGATCTACTGATTCTTGAATCATGTTCTGATAGTTTCTCAAAAAATACAAAGTTTATTGATTTATTTAGGGAGGCTTTTAGATTATTTTTTTTTATTGCTCGCTAAATCTCTGAATGTTTAACAGCCGTGAGTCTAAACACAGCTTCTGGTACTCTGGCATCACTCTTTTTTACACACTTGCTTTTGTATTTTATTTTTTCACTCAGTGCTAGCCATGAATGAATGGATGCCTCTCACAATATGTGCAGGATCTTAAAGTTCCTGTGGTGGGAGGAGTGTTTTCTAAAATGTCTTGTGGTTTCTGTAGAGTATTTGCAGGATTTTTCCTCTATTACAACAATAACAGAGATAGTTCATTTCTCTGGTCAGGAGGAATTCATTCATTAAAGTGAAGAGAACAGAAATATTCCCTTATTAGGAACTGAGTTTCTGGTTTACATGTTAAAAATTCAGGTCACTTCAGAAAGCTGTAATATGATTCCTTAGGTTTGTGTAAATGTACATAAAGATACTAACATTGGTTAACATTTTCAGGATATTGATTAATGAATGCCCTGTGTTCCACATCATGCTTTCCTGAGAACTTCGGGCCAGAAAGTCCTGTTTGACATTGAACAGAGTGTATAATCACACTACTTGCTGAGCAGCTTTTTTCACACATGCACTTTTAAACAGTGTGAGACAGTTTGTAAAAAGGGACATTTAGTGTTTTCAGGCCCAAAAAATTGGGGTCAGAAACTCACAATTATTTGGAGTCCAACATTAACTGAGATGGATCCACTTGACATTTGTAGCTCAAACAGATGTTTCAGGTCTGCTGTACAGTTAGCCATGTTAACAACAAGTACATCCACGGCACACAACTTCACACCAACTCCTCTGATTGGCACGGCTACAAGTGACTTAGTCACTGTATTTGCACATGTCTGTCTTTAAGTAAATATTTAGTCTAGATAAAATGGGAAGAGGATGAACAGCCCTCTGACTGATGTGATTATTTCATATCGCTACATTTGTCACAGTGCGTGCAAACAGGGTACCCAGTAACACGAGGAGTAGGACCCAAATCCAGACTCAGAGGTAGATTTGGTACAGTTCAATGATTTAATGGCACAAGTACTCAACAAAGCTTTCAGGGATAATGAGGCAGGCGTAGGTCAAGAGCAGTGGTCCAAACAAAGGCAAACAAATCCAATAGGGGACAGGCAAAATCCACAAAACAGGCAAGGTTCAGGAAATACAAAGTAAAAGTCCATGCCAAATATAAACACAAGGGACAAAGGGAATACACAGACTAAATACACGGGTTAGGGGAGGAAAACTAGACACAGGTGAAATAAATAAGACAATCACACAGGCAGGAAAACACACAAAGTTAGTGAAGTTAAACATGAAACATAAGAAGGGGTGAGAATTTCAAAATAAAACAGGAAATAACTAAACTAAACCCCAAATAACTACATTAGTGGTACATCAAACTACCATTAGGCTGGACAGCCATCTTACAAACTGAGTGATTAGAACTGAGATGAGTTTATCCATTGGGGATCAGACACTAAATTGATTGACTTCTTTGTATATAGACTGTTACAACTGCTTTACCAAGGTTGGAAACATTAAATAACCACCGATAAATTTACAGCAAGAGAGTCATTCAAGAAAAGCCATAAAATGTTCTGCCACCCTTTCTGTCTCAGAATGCTTATTACAGATTAACATTTTGTGTGGAGCTCCTGTGTCTCCTGCGGTCAAAAACAGGTGCAGGTTTACTTCACTGTAAATCTTCTTGTCTTGTGCCACCTTACAATTAAATTATTTATTTAGGAATAGATAAGACAAAAGTAGACAGTGACAGTAAATTTAATTTTATGGGAGTAGTATATTGATGGTGGGATTAGATTTTCAGCATTTACACAGACACTTGATCAATTTTGTGTTATTAATCAGACTGGTTGTTGGTTGGGTGTGGGTATTGTATCCAATACAACTGGCTATGATGACACCTTTAACTGGACTGAATAATCTAAAACGATGATATGTATAATCTGATGATTTCATGACTTCCCAATGGAAATCAGCAAATGTTAGGATATTGACAGTTTTGCTTAAAATTACAACTGAATGAGACCGATGAGGGCGGTGAGACTCACTTAATCTAAACAGTAACATCTCGAACAATAAAAAACAAACTAATGATCTGACAGACTGCAGAGCTGAGCAGAACTCTCTGTGGGTTCATCACTATGAGTCACGTTACATGTACTCATTTGATCTATTGTTAATATAAAAATATTGATTATTGCAGCTTTGCCTTTATATACCACTCAGTCAGACCAAATGCTCTGTGTGGGGATGATGTGTTAAGTCATGACACCAAAGTTCAGACAGAGCAAACTGTGATTTTTCAGGCCAAGTTTACCTCAGTTTACACCATACCTGATGCTAACTAACCCCCACTGTGTTCATTCCATCGTCCTCACCTCAGGAGGGATCATAGCTGTATATCGGCTGGAGTTGTATCTACTGTAACCCAGGCAACAAGAGCTCTAAAAATAACTTGGGGCCCAATGTAGATCAGCCATTTTCACCGTGGCCTGCAATTCCCCACATTCAAAGAGAAGTATGTTTGAACCACTCCACAATAACAAGTAGTGTTACTGTCTCTTGCCTTTGTCTTTATATGATACAACAGGGATTTTCAAAGTGTGTGGGCGGGCCTCCCAAGGGGGGCCCCAAACAGCTTCAGGGGAGGCTCAGTGAACGGAAGTGAAACAATATTACTTATTGCGTTAGTTCAAAAAGAGATCACATAGAATAGCCTACATGTGTGAGAATTCAGAGATACAGCAGTTTTTGGGAACTGTTTTCCTTACATTAGAGTGAGAAACTAATGACTGCCATAGGACAGACCTTATTAAAACTATTTGGTGTAGTCAGAAGTTATGTCAAACAGCAATATTAGGCTATTTTGGCTCAAATGTTGAGTGTCTATGTCAAATACTATAATTATGATCCCATAAGCATCCCGGAATTGAGCGAAACTTACCAAGTAAACTAAAGATGTGGTGGTGGGGGTGCCATTTCTCAAGCTTTGTCTGAGAGGAGGCCCGCAGTCTCAGACTTTGAAAACCCCTCTGATACAACATTTTATCTCTTGCACAGGTAGAAAGAAAACATGAGCATGAGCTGGGTATAGAACAATCATGTGCAATAGTTTTTGGTCATATGACTCCATCTTACAAGCAAAACCACTTATATTTTCAACATGATAAGTCTAGAAATGGTTATGGTACATGAATTGTGTTTAGGTCAGATCACAGTACAATTTGTACAGCACTGTGATCTTCAAGAGCTTAACGTTTATTATACTAAACAAGTTGACTGATATGTGCTTTGCTTTCATTGTTGTGCGTGCTCAAGTTAAAAACCCAACAACTGCAGTATCTCTTTTCCTGTAGCTGCTGGTAAGGTTAACCCTCATGACATGTTGTCATCAGGCTTCAAAGAGACAATGTCTTCAATAGGAAGTAGTTCCAATGAAAACTTAAGCCTGGTCCAACCAGCCTTGTATTGGGAACACCCCCACGATTGTCAGGAGGGGTGGACCGGACCCAAAATCTGCCCAATTATGCTCAAGTGTGCGGCCAGCATTAGTGTCATTTGAGCACCACAAATTATTATTAATTATTTATTCACCTTTAGTGTACCGTACTTGTGAAAATAAAACCGGAACTA